TATATGACTTCCTATTCAACTTCAATAGTAACTATGGACCTATCTCTGCCAGTTTTGGAGATATAAGGGACTAAATGTTATAATTTTGGAGTTACAATATTAATGTGCCATAAATTTCCTACAGAAAAAATTAATTAAAATTAAGAAAAGGTCATTTTGGTCAAAATTCTTGAAATGGGAGGTGCTCTGAAGTACCAGAAGTTCAAATTTGATGAAATAATGTCATTTTTGACCACAAGTTGTCTGCTTTGCCAAGCCTTATGTTTTATTTTTCCGGAGTTCAAAATTTATTATTCATTACCGTACTGTACATTTTGCTTTCACCACCAATATGTACTTTTTGATACAGCGTAACTCGAAAACCGTATGGAATACAAAAAAACAGAGACCACCCCCAGTGTTGGGCTTTACATGCTCTACAAAATGCAAAAAAGAATGGATCTCTAGCATTAACGGTTCCCGAATTAGAGACAGTTTTTAGTTTCGGTATCTTATGGCCGCTACGCCCGTGATAATGCACCGATTGACCCCAAATTCACGGAGATGAAAGATGACCTGAAGGGTAACACTTTCCAATAATATTATTGGTTAAGTCTGTGTGGTGTCTGAATAACAGGGCAAATAATTTTTTTTTTCGAAAAAAAATTCATTTTTTTGAAAATTTTGGCCCATTTGACCTTGAAAAAAAGGTCAAAGGTCAAATCCAAGGGCATATTTGAAATCTACACATATGACTTTTGGAAAGCCGTCTGTAGAAATTTTTCCCATTATTCCTTCCCTAGGGTAGATAATTAGCATTTAATTTTGCCATTTTTAGACAAGGGTGCATTGCAATGAGTGCCACACCTAGACCCCAATACCGACAAAGCCCAAATTTTACGTGGAACGAGTTGAGATTATAGGTGACCTAAATCCAAGAGATNACCACCAATATGTACTTTTTGATACAGCGTAACTCGAAAACCGTATGGAATACAAAAAAACAGAGACCACCCCCAGTGTTGGGCTTTACATGCTCTACAAAATGCAAAAAAGAATGGATCTCTAGCATTAACGGTTCCCGAATTAGAGACAGTTTTTAGTTTCGGTATCTTATGGCCGCTACGCCCGTGATAATGCACCGATTGACCCCAAATTCACGGAGATGAAAGATGACCTGAAGGGTAACACTTTCCAATAATATTATTGGTTAAGTCTGTGTGGTGTCTGAATAACAGGGCAAATAATTTTTTTTTTCGAAAAAAAATTCATTTTTTTGAAAATTTTGGCCCATTTGACCTTGAAAAAAAGGTCAAAGGTCAAATCCAAGGGCATATTTGAAATCTACACATATGACTTTTGGAAAGCCGTCTGTAGAAATTTTTCCCATTATTCCTTCCCTAGGGTAGATAATTAGCATTTAATTTTGCCATTTTTAGACAAGGGTGCATTGCAATGAGTGCCACACCTAGACCCCAATACCGACAAAGCCCAAATTTTACGTGGAACGAGTTGAGATTATAGGTGACCTAAATCCAAGAGATGGGTACGCAGGCCCTTGTAGTCTAGGAGAAGCGGTAACGGTGACATGGCGGCGTAGCCGGCGGAACGAACCGGACAGGACTAAAACCATGTGTACCGTCAGCGCTAACGCTGGTGGTACAATAAAATTCCAATTTTCAACATTTGGCATGACTTGGCCACACTTACAGTTCAATAATGAGGTTACTGCACAGGTCACAGCACAGGTCACCAGGTCACTCACCATTTACAACATGCCATATTTTTCCACCAGGTTATTGGCCACACTAATATATAACTCCATTGCATTCTCCTTGGACATGCCTAGGAAATGAGGAAATAAAAGACATTGTTTACCCAGCACTTACTGGAATCTTGAATAAATCACTTCAAACTCACACTGCAGGTAACACAACCTTTCAACAACCTTTGAGTTTGTATGTGATCATTCTTCTTGGCAAAAAAAGTTTTTGGGCAGGTTAAATCTGGCCCTTCATTAAGGGTCTTGATCACCAGACTAAGGGCGTATTCCCATAGATTTTAGATCGATCTATCCCCGTGGAGAGTCTCACTAGATTACTGTCAGATAATCCGGCTTAAATGTCCGTCCCGCCTACTACAAGCTGTAAGGAGGTAATTAACTTTCGTGCCCGCTCGGCTGACAGCTATTTAGCGTGAACCCCCAGGGAGTTAGGTCGATCTAGTTTGGATTGATCTAATCTCTGGGAATGGGGTCTTACTCTTTCATGTGAGGTTCAAAAACGTTTACTCTTTTTACAATTTTATTTCCTTTGTCATTTTGTCACAAGAGGCAACAAAACGTATTTCATTATAAAATCATTCCTGTTGTCTATAACTGTTTGTAACTGGCCAAATTACATGCTCTTAAACATCATGTTAACTCATCATCGTGATTGATTATCTTCCATATTAAAGAAGTTAGCCGTTGGGATGCTAAAATCTACAATCAACAGTGTCCACTTCTTTCTTTCTTTCTTTTTTTTTTTTTTGGTTAGCATAAAAGGTGTGGCATATTCAAATGTGGCTCATGTCTCTCACCTTTCCTCCCTTCCCAGGCATCCCACTTTGCCTTCCCTGTGAAGTCTAACATCCCAGGTCTATCTACAATAGAAAACAGTTGACAGTATTATAAAACTGAAGTCTAACATCCAAGGTCTATCTACAACAGAAAACAGTTGACAGTATGATAAAACTGAAGTCTAACATCCCAGGTCTGTCTACAACAGAAAACAATTGACAGTATTATAAAACTGAAGTCTAACATCCCAGGTCTATCTACAATAGAGAACAGTTGACAGTATTATAAAACTGAAGTCTAACATCCCAGGTCTGTCTACAATAGAAAACAGTTGAAATTATTATAAAACTGATGTCTAACATCCCAGGTCTATCTACAATAGAAAACAGTTGACAGTATTATAAAACTGAAGTCTAACATCCCAGGTCTATCTACAATAGAAAACAGTTGACAGTATTATAAAACTGATGTCTAACATCCCAGGTCTATCTTCAATAGAAAACAGTTGACAGTATTATAAAACTGAAGTCTAACATCCCAGGTCTATCTACAATAGAAAACAGTTGATAATATTATAAAACTGAAGTCTAACTACTATATCAGGTCCACAGGTCTATCTACTACATCTCTCTCTCTAATGCACACACACACACACACACACACACACACATTCTCTAAGCTGCAATAATCTATGTGTTACCTGTGTTCACATCTCCTATCATTGCCTGCTTAAACAACCCATACAGCTCCAGCATCTCGGCATCAGTGGGTTTGGATTTCAAGTTCTTGACATCTTCAGCTGCCTTGAGGAACTCCTACAAACCACGAATAGCAAAATAAGAATGATGTAGTGTACTGTATGAAGAAAGCAGTTGACAGTATCATAAAACTGAAGAAGCTAGGGCTCGCGCTTTTTGGCATTTTTTTTTTTTGGGGGGGGGGGGGAGAGAGTAGTGCCAGACGCAGGGTAGAACGACCGGATAGCTCAGGCGGTGGAGCACTTACCCTGTCAGCGAGAGGTCCCGGGTTCGATCCCTGGTCTGGCAGGTGGTTTTTACACTCTCCCAGAAATGCGCTACAGCTTCTTTAATTGCCTTTGACCTGCAGCTCACCGGCAGCTCTAGCCGTAGTCTGCCTACTGTTCAAATTACTGCGCTATGCTAGTTTCTATCTGTACTAACCGATTTTCACCTCATTTGTAGATGCACAATTACTTTATCTTATTTTCTATGCCACTACGTACCGGTTCGAAAGTCATTTTCATGAATTAAACCTTTTCTACAGACGAACTGCCCCTCCCTCTTTTGCTTGCTTGTAAGACTTCTTGTGAGACGTACCTTCTTTGTAAGAAGAGTTTACTCCCAAGACGGGCTAAATCTTACATTCAAATCGAATTTCCTACAAGTTCTTCATTCGTTAAAAATAATGGCCATCGATTCAACTCATCGAAAGCTTGTTGTCCATAACCGTAATACAGTCTCTTACTTTTCAAAAAACTGTTTCATGAATTCTAATTACAAATTTCTCTTTGGATTTTCTTTATTTCACATTTTTTCTTTCATACAAAATTACAGACAAAAATGTTCTTTTGAGTAAAATGAACTTTACCTTATTGTCAAACCATTCTTTATAAATAAATTTTCATTTTAAAATTAGCAATCATATCTTACTTTCTTTTTCTGGTCAAAATATTTGTTCTGTCTAAAATCATACAAGCGCAAATATGTCCCAATTCAGCAATGCCTATCTTTTATATATAAATGAATAAAAAAAATAATAAGCAAAGTGTATTTTTTCTGGAACTTTTTATGCTTGCTTCCAATTTTTCTTGTACTAGCATATATATTTTCAACAATGCTTTCCTTACAAGACACTATTTAGATGTCAGGTTCATTACTCTAATTACATTGTACGATCATTTTTAACTAAGTCTTGCAAGTTTGTAACAAACTGAATCAACTAAAGCCACTACTAATTTTCCTTTTCATGTTTCATTTAAAAAAACTGGATACAAAAGTTAAGTAAAGTAATAAAAAAATGGACCCTCTATCTTTATCAAGATAAAAACAAGATTTTTGTAATTTTTATCTGGGCAGTGCTCATATCCTCAACAGAGCACAGTATTTCTCTGGTAAAAAAACAGCTAGATTCATTCCTCTTTTTCACGCCTTTTCCATGCTACTTTACATCCTTTTTCTTATGTATATATCTCCCAACTCTCTTTTATTTTATCTCTGCCATCAAAGAGAGCTGCTAACATTTCTGATACAGATTAAAGGCAGTCCCCTAGTCATCAGTAAAATAAAGTGTTTATTAACTTAAAGCTATAGTCACTGTTCATTTTCTGGTATTTTCCATGACAGTTGGCGCCCTTTTTCATACATTTCTTTGAGAGCTTCTCTGATTTTATCTCCTCCTTCATTAGAGAGCTCCTGGTATTTCTTATACAGCTTCAGGGCTGTCCTGGCATCTTCTATGGAATCATGGGTAACAGACTGAATATTGATGCCTGGGGATTAAAAACAACAACAAAATGCTTTTAAATACAATAAAACATGTTAAACCATACTGAAAATTATTCTGGGGAGAAAACACTGTAATTTGAAAACAAATGGGCTTGAATGCATGATTTAAATAAAGACCATACATGCAACTCTCCCGCAACTCTCTTACAGTATAAAAAAATTCATCTTACATAATCATATGAAATAATTCATCAAATACTTCATTACCACACTTCCCTGCTAACACTTCTTGTTTTATCAAATGTAGCTGAGGAAAACTTCAGACTTTCCACTTAAATTTCAGAATTTGCATGATCCGTCAGGTACTTCTATATTATTAATGTTGTCACAGATTTGTACTACAGAACTTACCTAAGAAATACCAGGCCAGAAACTTGAGGGAGATCATTCTCTGGCGTGGCAGGTGAAACAAATGGACAGTGTCCACTATCTGGTCTTTAGGAACCTGGAATGTGGATATCATTTCATTATTTTATGTCTTATTAATATGAGCATATCTTAGCATTTTAGAGTTTGTAACTTTAAATTGTCTGTTAAGAACCTCAAGTTTTTTTTTTTTTTACATAACATGTACAATGAGCAGTCTTTAAAAATATTCATAATGATAATAATAACTATGATTATTATGACAGTGACACAATTCACATATACTGGTAGCAGTATACAAACACCTTTACTAAAATAACCCTTTTTTCTGGGTCTTCTGGAAGACCTTCAAAAAATGGAGGATGGATCAACAAAGATAATTTGAAATGTCAGAACAGAGAGAGAGAGAGAGACAGATAGAACCAGGCACCACCTACCACCAAATTAATCACTCTGAAGTCCTTCTTCAGGCCGTGGCCCACAAAGACCACCCCAGTGTCCACCAAATACCTGAGCTTGATGTAGGCAGACTTCAGCGTGGTCAGGTGCTTGGAGGACACTGTTACATCCAGGTCTCCAGGCTTGATGCCAGAAAACTGGGTCAAGTAATCTACTACCTAGCAACAGGAAGAAATTGGGTCAAACTCTTACAACCTATCAACAACATGATATATGTGGGCAAGGAATATGTTACCTAGTAACAGTAAAAAATTTAAGTTTATAACACAAATGTACCTGCATAGAAACAGTAAATAATGCTGTTAACACTGTTTACAAAACAAAATAGTTCAACATATCAAAAAAGGCAATAATTATAACTTTCTACATTCTACCTATAAACATCTTTTCTGCTGTTGATTTTAAAACTTTGCACTATAGTATATGAGCATGTAAGTGTGTGTGTGTGTGTCTTTGGGAGAGAAAGAGAAAATTTTGTCACTTACTTGTTCCTGAGTAGCAATATAATCATCTATGAAGGGTTCCCCCTCACCCTCTCCTTGTCTGAAATGATGCAGTCAACAAATCTTCTTTTAACTGGGAATAAACTACTTCAACTTTTAATAAACATTGAACTAAATAAGCAGTGAATTTGATCTTAACACATAGCTGTACTAAACAATAAAGTAATTTATTGAAAAAAAGCACTAGGACTTTTGTACCAGGTTTAACAGAAAAGTTTTATTTACTGCATTTACTTCTGTGAAGTCTGTCTTACCCTCTTCTACATGTAATCAAATACTTATTAAGTGAAGTCTGTCTTACCCTCTTATACATGTAATCAAATACTTATTAAGTGAAGTGTGTCTTACCCTCTTATACAGGTAATCAAATACTTATTAAGTGAAGTCTGTCTTACCCTCTTATACAGGTAATCCTAGCTGCAGACATCTGGGAGGGTTTGATAGTAGAACGTGTCCCATCACTTCTCAACTCTGCTTCTTCCTGCATGATAAAACAGATTAAGACAATTTCTGCCATAGATCAAGACACTGGCAGATTCTTGGAATATCTGAGGAATAAAAGTTCACTTTTGATCTCCACCACACATCGTCTAGACAAATCTTAAGTGTACCACGATACTCCACAGTTGAACTGTAGCCGACAGCTTGTGACTCTAAACTGATTTTATTTACTTTCACTCTCCATATTTTGCATAGCTTTAATGAACACATTGTATTCATGAATGCCACCAAAATAAACAAGATGTGGACTGGGACAACTGAACTAAACAAGATCCACCAGGAGAAGGGGACAACCTAACTCATATATATATATATATATATATATATATATATATATATAGAGAGAGAGAGAGAGAGAGAGAGAGAGAGAGAGAGAGAGAGAGAGAGAGAGAGAGAGAGAGAGAGTATGTTTGTGTGTGTGTGTGAGAGAGAGAGAGGGAGAGAGATGGAGAGAACATACCTGGTTGAGGGAGACAAACTCAGCATCCAGACCCACCAGGTCACCTTTCTGTGGCAGCTCATCCAGGCTGAGTGGAGAGTAGGTGATCTTCCTTCTCTTGGGGTTGACTAGGGATGCATCAGCAAACAGCACATCTGAGCTGACAGGGTTCTTGACTGGAAGCATAGTATACGGCATAGTGAATAGAAAGATAAATTGAATATGAGGTGATGTTATCTGCTGGGGAGGTTCTATGACATTTAAGCCACCTAAGTTGACAGCAATTTAGCCAGAAACCCCGTGGAGATATAATAGATTGATCCAAAGTTAGTATGATATCTCTGGGAATGGTATCTAACATATTTTGTGTGCTTTTAAAATGGCAGATAGTGTGTCACTTACTCTGTATGTCATAGTGTTGGTTAAGATCTTTTCTTATAAAGTAGATCAGACATGGAAACTTCCACTCCAGGTTAAACTGGACTGCCTCTAGCTGGAATAAACACAGATCTTGCAGGGATTACACACAAACACACACAAGATATTTCTGTAATTCATCTAATATATGTAAACCCAATATATCTAATTACACCTTATATGCTACTTTGACAGATAACAGTGCTTTTTCTTTGGCAATGTTTAAATCTATGTCACTTCATAAAAGTAGCTTTGGAAAACGAAAAATATTAAACATCCACTTAATTTGACCATCTTTACAAAATATGACTGAAAGTTCCTCTGTCAGACATGAAACACAGTAACAATTACTTGGATAAAATTACTTAAATGTCAATTCATTGTCTTGAAGTGTAATTTAAGAATGATACAGTAAGTAATAATAATTGTTTCAACAAGTTGCTGACCTCTTCTATGGGAGTGATGGAGAAGTCATTGAACAGATACCACTGTGTACAAGTGACGCCCTCTTTCCTCTGGTGGTACGTCTCCCCAACCTTGACATGGCTGACCAGGTTACCTCCCGTCTTGGCATCCTTCACGTGCGCCACAGTGGCCAGGAGGTCATAATACGTGTAGCCTGGCTCTGGGATAAATCTCTGGAACCAAACGTCAGAGTATATGAAGTCTAGCTCAAGCATGATTTGTAGAAAATGTCAGAAAAGTGTTAAGGCCATGTTTCCAAACTTGAATGGTGTGCACATACAAAAATCTTTATTTGTTTATATTTTGCTAAAATTCATTAGGTGTCCATATGAACTAGATTACAGAAACAGAACCTTGGCTTAAATGATCTAAGTTGATAGAAAAGACACAGAGCACTTTACAAAAGTTTTCATTCTACAAGAAAAAGTTGTTTCACCTCTTCTGTCACTTCTTGTTCCTCCACCTCCACACTGCCCTCTGGTGTCAGCCTCATTTTCAACAGAAATGGAATCCAACCAGGCTCGTCTTCAGACTTCTTTATTTCTCTGGAAGTTGTAGAAATGGTGATAAATTATTTTATGTTTACTGGAAGTTGTGGAAATGTGGACAAAAATATCTTTCTAATATTCCCAATGAGAACTCAGCTGTAAATTGTAAATCATTATTCAATGCATTTTCAAATAGCTGGCACAGTGCAAACTGGTAAGCACATTTGATACAATACATTTGCATCTGCCAGAAGCCTGATTGGCACACAACAGAAAAGAATGGAAAACACAGTAAAAAAGAATGAAAACCAAGGCTTGGTGCTTGGAATATAAGCACAGTGCCTCCATGACTTCATGTTACGGAATTAAGAGGAGGGGAAGAAGCTTGAAGACAACCTGATTTAGTATTGTGAGGCACTTTTGTTAAAATCTGGAGTAGAAGTTCAGAAATAAATTGTACTTCTCCATCCTCACATCTTATCTTTCTCTGGATCATTGTGCCAGAAGTGGCAGTCCTTGCGAGTGCAGGCAGCGCCATATCTGCACGGCTTTCTCTGCATGGCGGCAGCGTAGGCAGCGGCCATTTGTAAATCTGGATTCCTGGCCTCCATTTCCTCCTGTCGTCTCTTTAATAACTGGAAATATTGACAAATATTGTTGTCATGTTTCATATAAAGGTTCTATATTATTATTACACACAAGCACAACATCTGAATCTTCTGGATAAAAAGAAAAGTGTCAAAGGAAAATAAAAATATATAAAAACAACTTTACCTGATTCTTAAAGGATACATGAATGTGTGTGTGTGTGTGTGTGTGTGTGTGTGTGTGTGTGTGCACGTGCATGTATTTGCATACACCAGTGTTTTTCTTTTGATACATCATACACAGCTGCTAAACAAACAAATGGATTTAGATAAAACAATTATCATAGTCCTGCCAATCACATAAAATAATTCTTATCATCCTGCAAATGAAATATCAATATGATGATCACCATACCATCTTCTGGGTACTCCAAAACTCCAGATCTCTCTCATTGTCCAGTTTACAGTTCACCCCCAGGACATCTGGTAGATTCTTCAATACTTTGGTTTGGACCTAGAAAACATCATAAATCCACTGATCCTCAATCTGAACAAACTGACAAAATAAGCATTACGATTTTGCTTAAGTACCTCGTTTAATTCGATGCAATTTTGTCCGTATTCTGAAGTTTGCCTGATGTCCTGCATTATCTGGTCCTTACTGAGCTGACATTACTTAAAATTATCTATTATATTCAAGACTTTTCACAAAATTTTTGCACTATCAAATTATTCATGAGAAGTTCTTATGTAATCATCTACAAGAAGTTTTGTGTCCTTACATGAGGCTGATATCTGGAGCAGGTATTACACCAGGCCTGTGTGTTCTGTTCTGATACCATACTGTGTCTGAGAACATCAGCAAATGTATACTGTACCAGACCTTTACCTGAATATAGAAATATAACATTACAGAATATGTTTAAATACTTTACAGTAAATGTATACTGTACCAGACCCTTGCCTGAATATAAATATAACATTACAAAATATGTTTAAATACTTTACAGTAAATGTATACCGTACCAGACCCTTGCCTGAATATAGAAATATAACATTACAGAATATGTTTAAATACTTTACAGTAAATGTATACTGTACCAGACCTTTGCCTGAATATAGAAATATTACATTACAAAATATGGCAATATTAATATATTACAGCAAATGTAATATATATATATATATATAATTTTAAAAATTTCAACATGAAAATAAATAATACTGACAATTCTACAAAGACATTCATCATAGCTTGGTGACATTGCACAGCTAATATCAGTGTCTTGTCAATGAAACTAAAAGACAACACAGTACGTCTGGTTTGCCACAGACCACAACACTTACTGTCATCTATCTCGGGATATGTAAGATTACACAGTGTGGACGTCCCTGCTCTGGAACTGCTGAGACCACAGCGACACTTGAATGAGCTGATCACTTCTGTGTAGAACAGCCGGCCAGGTACCGTGGTCTGAGGAGAGCTGAAAATAACGACAAATAGTAACAAATAAAACAAGCTACAATTTCCGATAGGAGTCCTTAAGACTTTATAAAAAATCTACATGATTAAGGGACTTCATAGGAATGTTATCAGATTTCCAATAGGATTTCTATCTTGGACATATGTCCTATATTACCTCACAGCCTACTCCGTGTTATGTTGTAACTTTATGCATTACAGTATTTCAGCAAGCTAACAGTTGAAATGGGCCCAGAATGAAGAGGTACACCATTTCATTTTTCCAGGCTACTTGTGCAAAAAATGTCAAAAATGAATGCAATTGTAACATTTTTTAAGTTTTGTCCACATTTCACCAATTGCCAAATTAACTAACATCTCTCCACTCCTTGTCACTTCAACTTTTTCCTCAGCTTTCTCATTTTCTTTCTCCTTCTCTTCATCTGCAGAAGGTTCTGCTGAGGGTTGTGCTTCAGTCGCCTCCTCAACTGTAGGTGTCACCTCTGTAGTCCCTTCATCAGCTGTCTGTTCATGTTCGTGCTCCTCCTGCTGTCTCCGCTCTTCTTTCTCAATTATCTCTGCTATCTTGGTCTTGGTCTTCTGGGAGGTTTCCTGGTAGAAAACAAAGACAATTCACACTTTTGTTTTCGCTAATCTATCAATTTTTTTAGACAGAGAATCAAATTTAACAAAATATTTAGTTATAAAGATATATACTATATGTTCATAGCATGTAACCTGATTTCTCTTTAGTTAATTTGAGAATATGTTCATGTGAACAGTATGTGATGAATATTGTATTTAGCATGCATGATACTTGTATCGATTATATAAAACATGAGACAATCATTTGAAAAACAATATTTTGTTCCAACCTACAGTATGTAACTGTTGTGCTATGAAGCGACTCCAGCTTTGGATGAGACGGGAGAAGTTGGTCTTTGCGCTGGATTCTTCATTGTCGTTGAGGATAAGACCCAACGCAGAGGCTTCTGGGATTGTACGGAAAGCTCTCAGGAAATTACTCGCCTGCAATAAAATATAGAAATATATTGTTATACTGTTTTAGTTCTAGCTTTTATATTTTCAGTTAAAATTTTAGTTTTTCTAAACATCCAATTTTTTTTTATTTCAAAGCTACAGATGTCCTATACCATGCCAAACTTTGCACACATTATTATTACTATTCTCCAGATTCAGTGCCAAAAATCTGCTTTGCAAATTTTAATTTTTTCTTGTCATTTTCTTTTTTTTTAAATTTTATATTTGGATAAAAGTTTCACTTCCAAGCCCCATCATCTTGTCTTATGTACCAATCTGGCATATCTGTCTCTTCTATTTAGGTACTGTGACACACCTAATGCAATGCTATATCTCAACTAACACAATGCTGTATCTCAACCAACACAATGCTGTATCTCAACCAACCTGACATGTCTGCCCCTTCTGTTTGTCCAACATATGGAACAGAAATCCCAGCTCACAGGAGAGACAGAACTCCTTCAGACAGAGATGACTTTCCAATACACATCTCAGGGGTTCTATAAAGTACAGCACCTACAATATAAAAAATCTGTTTATACGTTTATTGTATGATCCTCCTGCACACCCCAAGAGGTGCTATAAAGTACAGCACCTACAATATAAACCATGTGTTGATAAAATTTCTAGTCTGCCATCTTGTCATTACAATTACTGAAAACAGTTTATTACCAGGCCCACTTAAGATCTGTCTCCTTCATTCTACCGTTCTTTATCAATGCCCGTTTTGTAGTGCTGAAGTAAAAGCATCCATCACTTATTGTCTCAAGCCAAGCACATCTGTACAAGCCTACAG